CACCAGGGCAATACCAGCACTGCACTTGAACCAGGCGTCCCACCTTCCATCGCCATCGTGCCTCCACCTTTGCGAGCCAGAGCGAAACCTGTGCTGGTGAAATGATGCACCCGCACAGCCAGAGGCACTGGGGAGCACATACTCAAATTTCCCCTCCATGAACCAAGCGGATTAAAGGCCACCTGAGAAGCAAGGGGCAGTCCGAGCAGATGGAGAGCTCACCCTGGCTCCTGTGCTTCAGCAGAGGAGCTGGGCTGCTGGGGCAGGAGCACCCGGAGCCGTGTCCTCTCTCCTTTCCATCCTCCGCGGGAGCCGCAGGCTGGAAACACCCGAAGGAGCAGTGGCAGGGGGCCGGAAAGGGACCAGACGGCAGGGGGGGAAATCGCGTCAGCCGAACTGTGGAGGATCCATTGATGTTCCCGCTGCACCAGCTCCCAGCACGGCTCACTGGTGTCTTTTCTGGGCCATTGGCCACATCTACTGATCACTCCTCAACAAGGGGAAGGATGAGACAAACTGCTCCTCAGAGTTCCTGAGTTTATTACAGAACATCAGTTTAAGACTGCTTCTTAAGCAGGGTTTACATTTCCTTGTGCTGGTGCCTGGTCAGCCCCAACACGGCCGTACGGAGACCTCCTCCTTTGTCCTGCTCCCCGGCGGTGCCTGGGCCGGTCGGTTTGTACATCCAGCTCCGTCCAGTCTCATGAGACGTGTCTGACACTGGTGCTTGTTTTAAATATTAAGGCCAGGGCTTGCAACTAAAACACAGTAAAAGATTTTAGGTTCTTTTTAAAACCAGCTTCTACACCAGCTCCAGACTCGGCTCGGGACAATCTTCCGCCAAGCCACCCCTCTGATGACCAGCCCCAGCGCCAGAGGGAACTTTGCACGGATGGCGAGACCATCTTCATGGCTTAAAATACAAACGCTGGAATCTTTTATTTAGGCACACAAGTAAGAGTCCCAGGCTTCAGTGTGAGGGCTGAGGAAGCGGGTGGGGACGCGAGGTCTGGCCTCTGAGCAGCAGCGTGTCCCGGTGCCCCTCCTGCCCCGCAGCAATTGCCCTGCACGCTGCCAGCCGCCGGCTCAAGACGGGCCATCATTATCCACTGTCGAGAGGAGACGGGCGACCTGGGCCTTTTGTGCACCGGTGATGTGCTGAGCCATCTGGATGACGCACTCCATGGCAACCTCGGGGTTGGCTTGGACCAAGCTGCAAGGCAGGCGGCAAAGGTCAGCTGATTGGAGGCTGAAGCAAGAACCGTCTCATCCCCACCACCTGCTGTCCCCAACCCAGGGGACAGAACTGCCCTTCGCATCCCAGCTCCCGCGGCCACTCACCTCCGGATGTGCTTGAGGACGTAGTCCCGCTTCAAGTACTTGATGTTCTCCCGGATGGCTGACTGGGTGCCGTCGTCCTCTTGCATGTGCTTCTCCAGCCACTCCACCACCACCTGGTTGTTGTCCCAGAGGTAGCCCTGAGGAGAGCAGCACCATGAGCAGGGGGTGCTGCTGCCTGCACAGCCCGAGCCCCCCCTTTCTGCTGTGGCCTCAGGCTTTTTCCTCCGTGACAAAATCAGACAACGGGAGTTTTCTCCTCAGTCCCGCACATACAGCACAGGACGGCTCAGCACATGCACCCACTCCCGCCTAACAGTCCCTGGAGACAAGGTTCAGTTTAGAAATCGAAACTAAGAAAGCTTTGTGGGCTGTTTAAAATGCAAAAAGTTAACGTAAAACATGTTTCCTTTGCATGCCCTCACTTCCCAACTCAGCAAGCACAGGACCGACGCGGTGAGGTGTGTGTCATGGCGCTTGCTTTCAAGGGTAGCTCAAATGCAAAGACCCCAAGTCTCACTTCTGCCTTGGAAAGCCCTAACTGATGGTGGAAAATGAGGAGGCTCATGTTTATTTGGGGGCCACCTTGCTACAGCTGAACATCAGCATCCAACTGAGGTCACCCGATTTGAAGAGAGAGCCCCAGGCTCAGGGCTGCTTAGCCCACCCCGGCACAGGCTGCAGAACCGTAATTCCCATCGCAGGTTTAAACCCTTAGGGAGGCACCAACGAAACAGCCGAGCAACGGGAGAGCAAGGTGACAGCCCTCCGGACCCGCCTGGCCGCAGGGATGCCTCGGGAAGCTGGGGTTGGGGGTACCTTTGCGGCTCCTTCTGTCTCCATGAACCAGCGCCGCAGCATGGACTGAATGTGGATGTGGCTCAGTTCGCTGTTCGCCTTCAGGACCTCCGCCTTCACCACCTCCTCCAGCAGCAGCCGTCGCAGCCGCCAGTAGAGGAAGGGGCGGGGGTTCTT